TTCAGCAAATTATCAAGTCAACCTGCAAAGGTTTTTAAAGACTGATAAAACAGCTCGCAGGTTGATCGTGACATCAGTTGAGAAAAAACCTCTTGACTTACTTTTAAGTTGCACAAGCGCACGAGAAATGTGGAAGAAACTCAATGCAGTTTATGACATGAAGTCTGACGAAAATTTGTCAATAGTGCAAAAACAATTTTTTGATTTTAAATGGGACTCTAGTGAAAGTGTCAGTCATAACCTAGCAAAAGTTGAACAATTATCGACTAAAATGAAGAACCTTGGCGGTGCAGTTCCGGATTCCATGATATTGACACGCATATTGTCAATATTACCCAAGATATTCAATCACTTTCACAGTGCTTGGGATTCCGTGGAAGACAAGAAGAAAACACTTGAAAATTTGACGGCGCGATTGATGACTGAAGAAGTTAGGACTCAAGAACAGGATGGCTCCGAGGATATGTCTGTGGCATTATTGATGAAACGAAGGTCGTCAAATACCTTGTTTCCGAAAAATAATTGTCACCACAAATCAAATCAAGATGAGCGTTGGAAGAATAGTTTTTCTGGATGTTACACGTGCGGCAAGACAGACCACATACGAAAAGATTGTGTGGGTTGCAACAGATGTGGATCAAAAGGACACCTAAGCAGGAACTGTTTTAAAAGAAATGGAAATTTCCGCACACGAAACAGCGGTGGCGCTCATACTGTGCAGCAGACTTCAACTTCAACCCACAAGCAGGCTTTTGTAGGAAGCAGCAGCGATTTCAAAGGCGACGACGTCTGACTGGCTGACTCAGGAGCAACCGATCACATGACGCACCGACGAGATTTCTTCAGCCACTTGATTAGGTAACGGAAATCTTACTCCTGCGTATGGAAAAGGTAACGTTGAAATCGAAATATATGTAAACGGAAAGTGGATATCGGGTATTATGTACGACGTTTTATTTGTACCGAAATTAAGTCAAAGTCTGTTTTCAATAATTACCGTTACCAGGAAAGGAATTGATCACGCGATTACCGAGTATGGAGAAAAATGTATATTTTCACGCGACGGAGCGGTTATAGCTACTGGCTCGGTTTGGGGTGATTTATTCAAAGTAAATTTACGCGTTGTAGCACCGAAAAAATGTAATCTAGCCGGAAATGTTAATAGCAAAAAAGTATCTAATAAATCTTGCAACGAAAGCTTACAGCTATGGCACGAACGATTATGCCATCAAAATTTTAAACACATAAAATTCTTTCTCAAAAATAAGGGAATTCATGTAACGGACGATAACGTTTTTTGCGAAGGTTGTGCTTATGGAAAACATCATAAGCTTAGTTTTCATAATAGAAGCGACCGTGCTACAAAATGTCGCAAGATCATATATGCCGACGTATGTGGGCCGATGAAGCATGAATCGATTGGCAAGAAACGTTATTTCCTAATTCTTAAGGATGATTATTCTGGGTTTAGACAAATTTATTTTATAAGGCAAAAATCAGAAGTGATTGATAAATTGCAAATATTTTGCAATGAAATTGAGAATCTATTTGGGGAAAACATAAAAGAAATTCACAGTGACGGCGGGAAAGAATTTAAGAATAGGGACGTCGAGCGGTATTTGTGCAATAAAGGCATAAAACACACTCTAAGTGTTCCGTATACACCTCAACATAATGATGTCGCAGAGCGGGAAAACCGAACTATAGTCGAGGCTGCGCGGTCGATGTTATACTCAAAGCCGGAACTACCCTTGTCCTTATGGGCTGAAGCGATGAATACAGCTGCATTAACAGGTCGGGACCGTCAACACAGTCAGGTCAAACCCCTATGGATTATGGTATAGCAAAGGGGCAAATATAGAAAATTTGAAAATTTTCGGGACAGAATGTTTTGTACATGTACCACCTGAAAAGAGAAGAAAGCTCGATAGTAAATCTGTAAAAGGGTATTTAGTAGGATATATTGAAGATTGCAAAGGATACCGTGTATATGTGCCGAGTTTACGAAACGTAGTTTTGAGCCGTGATGTAGTATTCAAACCGGAGAGACTAACAGCAAATAATATCGATGTAGTTACATTACAAAAAGGTAGCAAAATTGGAGAGGATTTAGCTATTAATGAGAGTACAGATGGTTTTCAAAATACAGAAGTCGATAACGAAATCAGTAACAGTAACGATCAAGTAGAAAAGCCTTTGAAATCTTCAATCGAAAATGGCAACGTAAAACAGCTCCGTGATAGGCGAACGATCAAACAAACAGAATTTTACGGTTGTCCGATTACTTTTCGTGCAGAGAAATTACCCTTTAATTATAATGAAGCGGTTAATTGTAATAAGAGTGAATTTTGGATTAATGCTATGAAAGAAGAAATGGATGCCTTACGCGAAAATCAAACGTGAACTTTAGTTGAAAGGCCCATAAATCGTAAAATTATTAATAATGGCTGGGTTTTCACGAAGAAAACAGATCCTGATAATACAGAACGATTTAAGGCCCGGTTAGTAATAAAAGGATGTTCGCAAATACAAGGGCTCGATTACAAGGAGACATTCAGCCCGGTAATCCGTTATGACACCGTAAGATTTCTATTAAGTATCGCTGCGTGTAATGGATTCAGCCTGGGTCAGTTTGACATAAAGACTGCGTTCTTATATGGAAATTTATACGAAGATATCTATATGAGACAACCCGAAAGGTTCCATGATGGAACAGAGAGTGTATGTAAGTTATTGAAAAGTTTGTATGGACTGAAACAAGCTCCGAGATGTTGGACCGAACATTTTAGTGATTTTATTATAAAATTTGGATTCAGTAAAAGTTCAGCCGACTCGTGTTTCTATATCTATGATAAAAACGATGAAAAAATGTTCCTAGCAATTTATGTTGATGATGGGCTTGTGGCAACGTCGCATGAGTATTTAATAGATAAACTCCTTTTTGAACTAGGTAAAAATTTCAAGATAACAAGCACGAATTTCCTTGGAATCAAAATTTGCAGACTGAAAAACGGATCAATATTCATTAGCCAAAACAAATACATTAAAAATATTGTTCAAAAATTTAATTTAACAAACACGAATTATGTATCAACTCCAATAGAGATTGGTTGGGATGCGAACGATTTTATTAAAGACAATTGTCGTGATGTACCGTATCGCGAAGCCGTGGGTAATTTAATGTTTTTACAAACAGTAAGTAGACCAGATATAAGTTTCGCAGTAAATATAACATCGAGAGTTTTAAATAAACCAACTAAGGCACACTGGCTACTTGTGAAACGAATAATGAGATTTTTAAAGGGTACCGCAGATATAGGTTTATTTTATAGAAGTGCATTGATGTCGATGGAAATTATTTCGATTAATGGAATATGAATAAGGCTTGTAAAATAAAAGTTTATGTTAAAGATTCAAAAACAGCCATTTCATTCGCAACAACCTAATAGGTTCTGTGTACAGTATTGACAGTCACTACACGAACCGTGCCATCCTCTCCTGGGTGGATGCTGATGATGCGACCGAGAGGCCAACACAAAGGTGGCAAATGATCCTCCTTTAATATCACCAACATCTCTTCTCGAATGTCGACATCTCGGTGTCGGTGCCATTTTTGACGGACTGTTAGTTCGTTTAAATATTCGTGATGCCAGCGGGACCAGAAATGTTGTCGTACTTGCTGGATTTGTTGCCAGTTGGATAGTCTGCCTGTGTTGGTTGCGGTAAAGTCTCGCTCGGGAATACTCGTTATTGAATCACCGATTAAAAAATGACCTGGTGTGAGAGCAATTAAATCGGTTGGATCAGAGGATAAGGAGGTGATGGGTCTCGAGTTTAGGATGGCTTCTATTTCTGCTAGACAAGTGGTAAATGCTTCATATGTGAAGAGCGTACTTTGCAATATTCTGGTTGTGTGATGTTTTAACGACTTTACAGCTGCCTCCCATAGGCCACCGAAATGAGGCGCTCTGGGTGGAATAAAGTGCCAATTGGATAAATGGCGACATTGGCTAAATGTCGAGTTATGATTTTATTATGGATTTCTGAGCGCGTTAATTTGTAGATTTCCCGTATCTCGCGATTTGCTCTTACAAAATTTGTTGCATTGTCTGAATATATATCCGTTGATTTTCCTCGTCGTGCAAAAAATCGTCGTAACGCTGCAATGAAGGCACCGGTGGTTAAATCGCTCACTATTTCTAAATGAATTGCCTTCGTAGCAAGACAAATAAATACCGCTACGTAACATTTAATTTTTCTCGTATTACGGAGTTTTTTCTCCTTTATATGGAATGGTCCGCAGTAATCGACTCCCGTTGTCAAGAAAGGTCGCGTGAAGGTGACTCTGTGTTTGGGAAGCGTGCCCATTTGGTAATCGGGTATGATCGGTCGCGCGCGAGATCGAATGAATGATTTATGAATGATTGCCTTTGTTCGAACCTTTCCGTTGATCGGCCAATATGTTTGGCGCACTGCGTTTAATGTGACTTGCGCACCGGCATGACCACGAGAAAGGTGATGTTGTCGAATCAGCAGGTCTGTGACTAGGTGATTGTCTGGTAGTACTAACTGGTGTTTGTGGTCGTACATTAAATTGGAATTAGTCAGTCTACCGCCTACTCGAATAAGACCCGTTGAATCTATGAATGGCTTCAGTGCAATAAGGCGACCCTTATACTCAATACCTGACTTTTCCTTTAGGTGGTTAAATTCGAATTGGAATTCTTGCATCTGTGTTAATTTGATTACGGTACGTTGTGCGTGCTGTAATTCTTTGATGCTTAGTTGACCGGTTTTTATTTTTCCCGAGAATATTATTTCGAAATCTATAACAATATGCTAAGACACGAGTCAAGGTGGAGAATGTGGAAAATCTCTAGAAGGATTTCGTAATGTGGCTTGGGTTTCATTGTCACGGTCAATACGGTTGCAGGTCGCTGTTCGGGTACTTTGACGGATGATAAGATAGTTGTCGGCCAGTGTGTTGCATTATTACGTAACTAGGGTGTGCCATTGGTCCAAATTTTTGATTTTAAGAAATCAGCAGGATTGATACCCCGAGATAAAATGTCGGCTGGATTGTCAGCGGATGGAACGTAACGCCATTGGTCAATATTGCTATTTTGTTGTATCTTGCTTACGCGATTTGCAACGATTTGCTTAAGAGTATGTGGAGGTGTTCGAATCCAATGCAGAGTAATCATCGAATCTGTCCAGAAAGTAATGTTAGAGAGTTTGATCTTTATTGCTTGCGTGATGGATTCACACAAGTTTGCTAACAAGAGAGATGCACAAAATTCTAAACGGGGTAAAGACTGCGTCTTTACTGGAGCAACTCGAGATTTAGAACATATGAGTCTAATGGAACAATTGCCGTGAACATCTATGGTCCGAAGATACAAGCATGATCCGTAGGCCCTTTCGCTAGAATCAGAAAAACCGTGTACATCTACTGAGGCCGCGTGTTTGCTTATAATTGCCCGTGGAACTATGAACCGTTCAATCAGTGGTATCTGAATTTGGAATTCAGTCCATGTTGAGTGAATGTCGAAAGGTACTGACTCGTCCCAATGGAGGTGCAGTTTCCAAAGTTCCTGCATGACAAGTTTAGCCCTTACCATGATTGGGCATAATAGTCCTAGTGGATCGAATAGTTGCACAATTCGTAACAGAATGTTACGTTTTGTTAATTTTCTAGGTATATCGTGTTCTTTGACTGTGTATCCTATTGTGTCGGTTTGTGGTTGCCAAAATAATCCTAACGTTTTCTTTTTATCAGTGAGATTAAGTGTCCTGTGTTCGTCATCTGTATTTTTTAATGGTTCGATTAATCGGGAATCATTGGAGACCCACTGTCGTAACTGGAAACCTCCGTCCGTGGTGAGTAGGATGATTTCGTCGCGAAGAAATTCGGCCTCTTTAAAAGTGGATGCCCCTGTCAACAAGTCGTCGACATAAAAGACGTTTTGCAACACTTCGGCTGCGATCGAGTGGTTAAATCCCTCGTCTCTTGCGAGTTGTTGCAAGATACGAGTGGCCAAGAAAGGTGCGGACGCGGTACTGTATGTGACGGTGTTGAGAACGAACGTTTGAAGCGGTTGACTGCGATGTTCTCGCCAAAAGATTTTGTGATAATTCCGGTCTTCCGAGGATAATTCGATTTGCCGATACATCTTTGTGATGTCAGCTGTGAGAACGTATTGGTGAGTTTGAAACCGGGAAATCAGGGTGAAAAGGTCATCTTGGACCGTGGGACCTACCATTAACGCATCATTTAATGATATCCCTGATGAAGTTTTGGCGGACGCGTCAATTACCACGCGAATTTTGGTGGTGAGACTCTCGATTTTCGTGACTGCATGGTGCGGTACGAAATAACCATCGAGCGATTTAGAGCTAACTATTGTCATGTGCCCTAATTGTTGGTATTCTTTGAAGAATGCAGAATATTGTTCCTTAATTTGAGGATTCTGATCTAATTGCCTTTCTAGGGCGAGGAAACGTTTGAATGCCATAGGATATGACTCTCCTAATTCCTTTATGTTTTCCTTGAGTGGCAGCTTAACAGAGTACCGATCACTACCTGCGTGGCGTCGGGTGTGTTGCAGGTAGTGAGTTTCACATGCGTGTTCTTCGGGGGATAAATGCTTTTTCACGGATCGTTCTTCCAATTCCCAAAACCTTAAAATCTGTTGCTCCAATGAATTTATATCTATCAGAAGAATTACGATCGAAGGACGCGTCTGTTCTGTGCAACACAGAACCGCGTATCGATGCTGTTTAGCCTAACACCCCTCCTATCGAAATGCGTTCCATAAAAATATCGCCATTTAACTTAACTTTTAAACGTAATTATAATTTAACTTAAATTTAACATTTCAACGCAACGGTTATGCTTATGTTTAGTTAATGCTTTAGTTAATATATCTGCGGGCATACGTTCGGTTTGTAAATATTCAACAATAATATCCTTTTTATCAACTAGTTCACGGGTGAAGTGCAACCTTATGTCTATGTGTTCCGCGGACCACCCGCGGAATATTGTTTAGAAGCCCCCGCCGTTTTTATTTTTACCCGGTTTAAGCATTTGTCCCATAGCGGCTAGCAATCTAGACAAAGGAAGAAACTATCCGGCGTACAGATTACTAGTACGTTTCATGACATACAAGTTCTTGAGAATGTCTCTTTATTCATTAATCCCTTAAGAAATAGTTTCTTTTCCAAAACGTCGTTTACGACGTCAACAGCTAATTGTACGTGTCATATAACGTGAGTTTCTAAAGGGCTTCGGGACAAAGGCCCGGCAGGCCTGGTGGAAATTCCCGTTATGGTTTCAAATATTTAAACTTTTTCTGACCTTCACTCCCTCTTGTCATCGCCTAGTCCGCACGGAGCGTGTTGCGGACGCACGGATAGATCGATGGCAATCAGGAAAAAATATAATTGGCTAATACCGACAGCCAATCGACGAAAAAGTCATCCCTTCAAAGTTTTCCTCCTTCTGGAAAAAACTAGAGAGGCCAGTCCAAGTTCAACCACAAGAGAACACAGTTCAATCCGAAACTCAACCGAAACCATAGTAAATTATACATATTCAATATCACCATCACGTAGATCACTCTGATTTTTTGTTTGCATGATTCAAGTGCAAATATACAATTAATTTAAAGATTAACTCCTCTTTAAATCGAATCATTCCTACCTCCTTAAACAGTCGTAGAAATTCGACTAATTCGCGACGCGGTAATAACCACGCGGAGATTTACAACCTCCACGAGACCACGGTCCGATCAATCGAGTCTCATCCATGGTCGACAAGACGACGGAAGTTTGCTTTTTTGACTTCCAACTAATCGGACCTCCCCCTAACGTCAAAATACAACCCAAACAAGATCTACGATCATCAGCATCTCCACCCCAATCAGATGAGAGTATAACAGAGTATACTCCGCCGGAGTATGACAGAGCAATGTTTCGGTTCCTCTTTATTCGCGACACTTGTATTTGCTAAAATTTGAAAACAGTGCACATTCGCATGTTCTGGCAATTAGAATCACAAATAACGCTGAATCATGGAATGGTAATATACCCCCGGTCGAAAACCAATTTCCTTACTTCGTTGGCAAGGTGAACAGTTGTATTTCAGCTATTCTTTCCACACCCCTGTGGTACTATATAAAAGATCCAAAATATACGGAAATCGAACATTGTAACACTTAGAATACCTGTACTACATTGTACCACGTTCCGGTGCAATGTCACGTGGGAAGCTAGCTTTGTACTTCCCCACCGGAGTATAACACAGCAATGTTGCGGTTGCTCTTTACTCACGACACTTCTGTCTGTTAATATCTGCAAAACAGTGCACATGCGAACGTTCTGGCAATTAGAATCACAAGTAACGCTGGATCATAGCATAGTGATATACACCGGTCGAAGACCAATTTCCTTACCTCTGTGGTGTTATATAAAAGCTGCAAAATAGAGGGAAATCGGATATTGTAACACTTAGAGTACCTGCACCACATTTTACCACGTTCCATTCAGCAAAGAACACCTGAAATACTGTCGTTTTGCATGTTTCGCGAAGAAATACGCGCTTTAGCAAAGAACAACTGAAATCCTGCCGTTTTGCACGTTTCGCGTAGAGAAACGTGTTTTAGCAAATAACTGAAATACTGCCGTTTTGCATGTTTCACGTAGAATAACAGGTTTTAGCAATTAACTGAAATACTGCCGTTTTGCATGTGGCGCATAGAAAAACGTGTTTTAGCAAAGAACGTATCAAATACTGTCGTTTTGCATGTTTCGCGTAGAAAAACGCGCTTTAGCAAGGATCGACTGAAATACTGTCGTTTTGCATGTTTCGTGTAGAAATACGTGTTTTAGCAAATATCAACTGAAATACTGCCGTTTTGCATGTTTCGCGAAGAAAAACGTGTTTTAGCAAAGAACAACTGAAATACTGCCGCACAGTTGTCTAAAATCGTAAAAACCCGGACTTAATTCAAATTTTTGTCTTCTTCTAATAAGTATGAAATTTTGATTACGGATCCTTAATTGTATATTTTATGTAGTGGTATGTATAAATCTTATTAACATAGGTTGAGTAGTATCCTTTCAACTATATGTACATGTAAAATATTTAATTTTTAATGCTCCGTTAACGATTCCTTTTCGTGAATCTCAATTTTATGCCATTTTCGTTGCTTTAATTATGTTTACAAAACCGAATTCACGCGGGGTCACGATAAATTCTGCATGAAAGTATTTATTAGTACCTACTTGAAGGAGATGCGTAACATTTGTCTGCATGTTCTTGCCTAAACGGAAATTATGGTGTTATATCTGTGGCAATGCAGTGTCATTTCATTTCCCTCAAATTTGAGGGGTGCATATTATTGATAGTATTGGTATTAATGTTATCATATTATGTTATATATTATTCTGTATATTGCTAATGGCTAAACTGCGGATGTTTATGCAATCTAACAGTACAATGTGAGCCGTGAAATAGTCTACTACGAGCGAACATCGAGTTAATCTCCTATGTTTCTTGTAGGAACAAGTTTAAAAATTATTTGAATGTCATTGTGCAGTGTTTATGATCTTTTGTTACTTTTAATATTCCAGTATAAAGTTATATTAGTTATCTTGTAACTGATGCGGCGAAGCTATGTTGCATAACTGGTACCATGCGGGTCAAATCTAGGTCCCAGGAAACGCTTAAGCTGGCAGAGTTATTCTGCTAACGGAACAAGCAACCTAAATCATACAAACGCAGAATATTACGAAATGTTTTTTACATTTTTTAAACGTAGGAATAATAAATCTGTTTTAAATATCCCTACATTTCCCAGTGGCAAGAAAAAGAGACCGTGTAGTGAAGTGACCGTGCAATAAAACTGACTGTGCAGTGAAGTGAGTTCACCGACCCGGCCGTAACATCAGCTGTTAAGGGTTGCCTTGAAAGGTCAGGATCGGCACTATGACCCACTTCCGTCGAGGCAGGTCAATTCGTGGGCAAATGTGTAAGTTTTTCATAAGTAATAAAACACTTTATTCCTTTCGGATAACCAATAAAAATATCGAAAACAGTTATTAACACGTTGAATGCCGTGGGGGGCATCGGAGACCGACTGTCTCAAAATTAGTAAAAGAATTTAATTTGAATAAATGGTAGTATTTGTAAAATTTTCACCTAATGCATCATACAGCATATTTAAATAGTTTTATTTCTAACTATTGACATATTATTTATGCATATTGCAATGTGTTGTATTACAATAAAAAATTCTTTTCGGCACCGTGAACACGTTACGTAGAATTGGTCCGACATTCAACGGGTTAAACGACTTATTAGTTTATTTGTTATTCATGAATAACGAATAATTCCAGATAATTCTTATTTTAAGACGATGTAACATTTGCCGCACGCTTCCCTCGATACCCACGCTGTATCAATGCGTTTGTTCACGACTGCGTTCGAGAGTTGAGCGCGCTCTCTACGCGCGCTTTGATTGGTCAGCGTTTTTCGTTAATAATTCAAAATGAAGCTTCAAACAACATTTTGGTAAAGGAAAAAGTTGTTCAGAGTCACCTCAGCAATCCCCCATTTCCGGGTGTTCGAGAAGTTACGGGACACCCTGTATAAAACTCCACAAATAGCATAGGCACTATACAGGGTGTCCAGTAAAGTGTGTAACACCCGGAAATGGGGGGCTGCTGAGGTGACTCTGAACATCTTTTTCCTTGACCAAAGTGTTGTTTGAAGCTTCATTTTTGAATTATTAACGGAAAACACTGGCTAATCAGAGCGCGCGTAGAGCCCGCGCTCAGGGACGGGCGAACAGAGGTTCACCCGCGCGCTATCGTGAACAAGCGTACGCGTGACTTCTCGGTTATCGATCGCTGTCAAAAAAATTTGACTTTGCACCGCTATTTTTATAAGGCTTGGAGAAATGGTTTTTTACCGTCATTCCGACGTTTGTATAACAATACATACAGTGGAGGACAAAAGTATTCATACACCCTATAAAATGGAATAACTTTTTTAAAATTGGGCCAAACGACTTGAGTTTTTTTGAGAAGTTAGAAAGATTAGATTACTAGATAACGTGTCAAAAAATTTTTGAAAAAACTGCAATTAGACGGAATCGCAAAGAAAATAGCAAAGGTCGTTTTTACAACTCTTTTATCCGAGTTCGTAATGAAAATTTAAAAAATACGTTTTGTAGATCTATGTCAATGACACGCACGCTGAAAATTTCATCGAAATCGATTAATGTTTCTATGAGCTACAAACGGTTGAAGATTGTGAAAATCGTAGTATCACGTCTTTCAGCGTAAAACTGTAATAAATCTGCAGATTCTTACATCTTTCGATGCCTGTCGCTTATTTCTTCATCCACCGATTTCGATGAAATTTTCAGCGAGTGTATAATTGACATAGATTTACAAAACGTATGTTTTTTCTTTTTCATGAATAACAAGTAAGTCGTTTAATAACTGTGTT